CCTGGAGCCTGCTTCGGATTCTGCGTCTCCCTCTCTCTCTTCCCCTCCCCTGCTTATGCTTTGTCTCTCCCTCTCTCTCTCTCTCTCTCTCTCTCTCAGAAATAAATAAACATGAAAACATTTTTTAATAAATAAATAAGACTTGGAGGCTGTTAGGGGAGGAACATCTGATGCGGGTCTCACTTCTGCTCTTTGGTTGGTACCTTTTTCCCCGCCCCCATGCCAGGACACATGTAGAAATCAGGGTTCCCCCTGCTTGCTTTGCCCTAATAATTAGCAGTTTGTATGACCCCCACACTTAGTCCAAACGCAGTTTCCACATGAAGAGACTGGAAACAGTGTGAGAGATACATAGATCGATAGACAGATAGATCGATCGATAGATAATGATATAATACTTGAATACGACAAGAGCTAAAGGAGACCGCAAATCACCTCGCCTCTCGGGCCCAAGGTCACCTGGCCAGTGAATGCCTAATCCAAACCTGGAACTCAGTTCAGCCCCTGTGATCATTGGCTATGTTCTCAAGCATCTGGTCCTTACCCCAAGCGTCCAGCTCCTTCCCTTCCAGCTAGAGGCGCCCCCTGTGTCTTTGAGCAAAGTGGAATGCATCGGAGGCCCTGGGGTGCCGGGACCCTGGACAGGTATATCTGCCTGAGGAGTAGACATCAGGCGGTCAGCAGGGCCTGGACTGCGTCGAGGGACCAGTTGGGTTTAGCGCCTCACGGAGGGGACACGGGAGCCTTGGAGCTTCTCCGTTCCGAAAACAGCACCTCCCACCATAGCCCGGAGGGTGGCGGCTGAAGGCCTTCCCTGCCCCCCTCACAGCCTCCCTCCCTGGACACATCCCGGACCGTGGACCCCTTCATCCTGGATGTCATCACCTATTACCTTCGCATGGGCACCCAACCCGTCTACTTCCAGATCTACACAGTCAAGGTAAGTATGGCCCTCCCCCCGCCCCCCGGGACCCCACCGCCAAAACACTCCGGCTCTGGGGAGACACGGGTTAGCAGGGCACACGTCACAGACCCACCCAGACGCTCCTGGTTGCTAACCGTGTCTTTCCAGTCTTTGGACGAATCGGATAATCATTAACTTCACAGGCATCCGGCCTGAGCAGAAGTACATCTTTGCGTGGAAAGATGCTTTAGGCCTTGACCCCGCGGAGGGCTGGCGATAGGGCTGCTGCGAAAGTTCTCACCAGCAGTCGCTTCGTCTCAGAAATCCTCAACGCTCACTGTCCAGTCTCTGATCGCACA